TAATATTTTCAGATAATGTAATTTGATTAGAAAAAAATTCATCTATTTTTTCTCTATTTTTCTCAAATTAAACATATTATAAGGTTTCATTATTCTATAGATTAAGTTATTGCAATGGATAGTCTCCAGTCTCTAAAGAGAAATATTTTGGAAACTGACAAGCATGTTCCAATGAGTGATGAAACACTCTGTGCAAGTACCCCAGGTATACCCGGGATAACCACTAAGACGATAATCTGAAGTAAATACATTGGAAAATGCTACTAATCACAGAATGCTTATCATGACTTCCCTTCAAACACTCAGTGAGTCTTCCCCATCACAAGCACTAAATTGTAGTTGTCAATGCACACAGTTTCTCAATTACATAGATAACTCAGTAGTTTTTTTTTTTTTTTGTTGGAAGTACGAGATCGTTTGAGTCAGATAGCATACGAGTGGGTTGAAATAAAAGATAAGAGATAATTTTTTCTAATTGTGTAACCAAAATAAAATAATAATAATAATAATACACACAGCTTCGCCTTCCTTTCCGAACCCCCATTGTTGTCTCTCTGTAACCATACCCATTCGCCTTGGCCATGCATCGGTTCTCTAGAGATACTAAGGGCCTTTTGGTACAGCTTATTCAACTTTTACTTTTAAAGTACTGTTAATAAGTGATAAATTTAAATTTTTATTGAAAAAAAATTTAAAAATTACTTTTAAAAATAAGAAAAATTAGTAAAAAATGAGTAAAAAAATTTATAAAAAGAGTGAATTTAAAACTTTTAATTTTTTACTGTTTAAAATTTTTTTAAAAATAAAAAAAATTAAAAAAATATAAAATTTTTTTAAAAAAATTTAAACTTATAAAATATAAATAATATCAAAAAATTAAAATAACTAAGAAGCTCCACGAAACCCATCCTAATTTTGCCAAGGGCGTCTTACCATGCTCCTTTGGTGTACCCACGTCCAAAGAACAATTACACAGACTCTTTCTCCTCGCTGGGCCTCACCTGCAAAAAGGGCAAATCAGCAGGTCATCACCAGCAAAAAGAGCACATCGGCGCCTGTACTCATCGATTAGTGTCAAATCAACTCCTATACTAAAAACAGAAGGATTTCAACTCTCAAACAGCAAAAGAGCGCTTATCCAACGGATTACATCATCAAAGCGTTAACCACAAACGCCAAGCTGAATTGGCTGGTATTCATGAATAACGTGGCAATTTGATAAAATTTTATAAAAATAAAAATATTACATGAAACGCCAATGTGATCACTTTAATCCTATTAGGTTAATATTGGACTCATTTTGCTTGTGTGGCAATTTCAATTTCAATATTTAAAAATTTATTTCCACATTAAAGTTTAAATGAGATTAAAAAAAAAAAAGACATTTTGATAATTAAAATATTAAAAATTATAATGAAAAAATTTTAATATTTTTAATGATTCAACATATAAAAATGTTTTATTAAAAATATTTGACCAATTTTATAGGTAATCCAAATATTTTAAATGTCAAGAGTTCTTGATTTTTATTTTTCTTTTAAAAATATTAGACTGTGAAATTACAGGAAAGGCCTCATCCTCTTCTACAACATTGCCATTCAGACATTCCCAAGTCGAGCTAATCAATTTCAAGTGAAATTCAAGACTAAAACTAATTACCCGGATAAAATAATCAAAATCGCTTCTCGAGAAACATTAAAGCCATGAATTTCAAGCATATTATAAGGTTGATTGAACCCACTAAAAGACATTAAATCAACCATCTATGCTTATTTAACGGACCGAACCTGAGGTCCAATGGTTCGCCCCCAAACTTTAAGGTTTGGGTGAGGCGGAAATCAGTGCTTCGAGCCTTGCCACCGCTGTGAACTTCACCAACTTGCAGCTTAATGATCGTGCGCCTCATTTGAGGAGTGGAATGTTCACCATTCTGGGAATCCCAGTTGCTAACAACTAATTCATACTAATTTCTTAACTATTACCTTTGTAACAAAAAAAAAAAAAAACCATCTATGCTTATTTCAATCAAATCAAACAATATCCATATGAGTTGAAAACCAAAAGATCAATGCCCAAAAGAAACATGGCTCGGTTATCGCCATGCATAATAACGTCTGCATAATAATGTTATGGCCACACAAACAGTAAAGTATCCTCTTTGAAAATATTAATTTTATTTAATTTAAATAATAAAAATAATTAATATTTATTAATTAATAAATTAAAATCAATTAACAAACTCATTTTCAGACACTATTTTCTTTTAAAAAAAGTTAAATTTATGTGACCTTAATAATGTCTTGTATATGGTAATAACCACAAAAACAAATCCAATAGTATTCAAACTTGATATCCATACTCCACGCTCATCTCCACCACTCTTCTCATAAATTCTCCCAGCATATCCTTCCAATGAATCCAATCACCCACTTTGGCCTTTCCATCCATCGGCCAACCACTATAAATGTCATAGTTGTCAATCTCATTCCAGTATGTGTATACATAAGTAAATATATAAATATGTATATATACACACAAATATACACACATATATATAAGAGTGATCTATTTATATATAATTTTTACATACTACATTTATATTAAATTTTAACTATTATTTTTTTACTTTTGATGGTTGAGATTTAACATACTTTATAGATAAAAAAATAATTATTTTTAATAAATGTAAATAAATCTCAACTATTAAAAGTAGAGAGATGAATTATTGAGATTTTGTGTAAGTGCGATGTGTAAGATTTGTGTATAAGTTCATATCAACTCATTCATATATATATATATATATATATATGTCTTGCCATCTAGATTACAATGTACTACAAAATAGAGACATTTAAATGCAAGGGTGAAGCCATGAAGAGATTAAGGAAGGCCATGGCTTCTTGGTCTTTTGAAAAGTTTTAAAATTAGTTTTAAAATTTTATATTCTACAAATTTCATCTTTAAATTTTATTTTATTTACTTGATTATTGGATAGTGATAGGCTTACCCTTTGAACCCGCACCCTTCTTCACACACAATTGGTTCAAAAAATAAAATCAAATAGTCTCCCTTGATAGGCTTACCCTTGCTTGTTCACACAAATCACTCACTGGAAACACTTAAATCGGTGAGATCTAGCAATCAGCAAGAGGTTTTCATCTAGATTGCCCATCTATGAATCCCCTTGAGATGCTGTTGTGATGTTGGTTGCGAAGGAAATCGGGCCAAGAGATTGAGGGAGCTATTCAAAACCTAAATTATAGAGCAAGGGTCTTCACTTGTGAGACTTGCAAAATTTGGTGTGGAAATTGGGCATCTAGAATCCAATTGTCACTGCCATAATCAAGAGGACCTTTGATTGAGATGCAAAAGCCTCTGACGTTGGGGCATCTGTTAGAGTGGGTGCTTCGTGATATGTAATTAAGTATCAAAATACTTGTGACCGTGTTCTTTGCTATTTACCTCTGTCCTTGTTGCTTCATTTTGGTGTATGATGTTGAAGTTAGTTAATTGATCAGAAAATGAGGTGTAGTTGAAAAAGTCATAGATGTTGTTAGGATGAGTTGCAGTGAGTTAAAATAATAGTATTTTTTTGTTATCATATAATTAAAGCTACCTCAAAAGGAAATTTAAAGTTGTTCTATTTTGATTTTCATATCTTTTGGGCAATGGGATTGGGAAGAAGAAACAACGAGCAAGGCATGTGTAATTTGGTGAGATTGTTGGACAAAGGAGGGGGCATCAGCAGGGAGAATGGAGAAAAAGGTGAGTTATTATCTAATAGGAAGTCAGTTCATGGTAATTATGTGAGTTATAGTTATCCTTAAGTGTTTCAAGCTAGCATGACCATACTTAAGTGCTTTTGTACATCATTTTAGAGTAGAAAGATCTATGTAGTGAGTTCTTATTGAAATCAATTAAATGTAATGTGCATCTCCTTGCATCTTATTAGGAAGAACAGAGTCCTACAACCATGGGTCAATTAGTCATAGATGGTTATAATAGCAGAGATGATCCTACATGCTTGCCTTAACAGTTTGAGGTAAACAAAAGTAATCTTAGTTTGATGAATGATATTGCAAACATTAAACTAGACTTAATGTCTACATTGTGTGATTAAGTGTTACTTTCAAAAAAGTATGAGTTATTGAGTAATTAGGTGAGTATGTAATGATTTGTGAAGCACTGGCTATTATTCTGTACTCTTATTTCTAGACTTAAGGATTACATTTTATTACCTATATTGTTTTAAAGTAATTTGATGCATTTTTGTTTATTTACATTTGTATGATAACTTGTCACTTGAGGGTATTATGTCATAATAACTTTGCAATTTACTATAATTTGATATTGAGGAAATGAAGTGATTTTAAGCGTAGAAAGTGTAATTTGCATGCTCGATTCTTTGTTATAGGTTGTGGACTTCTCTTGTCACTACCTTTCATATGAGTTCAACGCTATAAAGAGTGGCTAAGCCAGGAGACATTATTTCCAATCTTCATTGATTGTGAAGCCATGGAATGTACTTTTAGACCTAATAACTTACAATTGGACTCATTACTTTGGTACATTGAAGATGCTAAACCAATCCAGTTTTCTCACTTCTTGTAGTTTGTAGTTGTTGCAATAGATAGGAGGGACAACTATGCCAATCTTAATCTACATCCTTGGAATGTCAAAGAACATACACACAAAATTCCAAAATTCTTTAAAAATGAGAAGCTGGTAAATATCCAACGTAAAATTCACTTTCATTCCAACTAAAAAAAGTAGCTTTAATTGATTATTATCCATAACTCTTTATAGTTTAGTAATTTGTTTAAGGTCCTTATTATGACTGCGATGCCC